TGAAGAAGAGGACCATCACCAGAAATCAATTAATTAATTAAAAACCCCATACTTGAAGGACTTTTTCCTTATGTTTAAGGTACCTATGTTGTACAGTTCAAATAACATTACACAAAATTAATTTTTTTCTAAAAATTACATACGTGACTTGATTTCAGAGAATTTCATAGCAACTGAGAGGTTGGAACGGGACATCAACTCAGAAATCTTCTTCCAATCGTTGCCATGCAGAGCTTGATACTTCTTTAATTGTTCTTTTTCTTCTTTAGTATACCTGGTTGAGGAAATGGGCACAGCTTCAGCTGTGAATTCAAACCATTTCAATCTCTTAAAGAGCTGTAACATGTGCAGGTGATCAGTGTTAATCATCACTATCACGTCAAGTCAATTTTAGAACAGAGGAATCAATAAGGCAAAATATCAATTAAGTCACAGTAACTGGCACAAATGGGAGAAATTATCTTCACTTGAATCCGTTTTTAATTTACAAATAATCAACACAGACTGATATTAGCATTCAGAAACACTTTTAAAGTATCCCCTTACCTTCCTTTATAATTATTTGGGTCAAACATCTTCCTTGCTCGATAATATATCAGCCTCCAGGGCCTGGGTATACCCTCAGCTGGAAGGTAAAGGATCATTTTTAACAAACATTTCTAACAGTGGTGAGACCAAAATGAAACAAACCCCAAAACCCAATACCAAACATTTTCATGACCGTGCTGTCAACAACAGATTCTTTCCACTCACCAGCTACAACCTGCACGGACTGGCTGTGCATTTGATCCAGGTGTGATTAAAATTTAACTGGCATGCTGAACACTCCCATTAAAACAGAGAGATGAGACAGCCACAGGCAGGAGCTGAGGGGACCCGGGTGCTCACAGACTGTTCCAACTGGGAAATGTAGGCACTGGGGGCATCAGCAAAAACCAAGTGAAGATCTCTGCTGCAGGGAAGATCCACAGAGACCAAGCCCTGGGAACACACAACCTCCTTGGGCAGCAGTGCCCAGCAGAGGGGACTGCAAGGCACAGAGCACTGGTGAGACTTTCTGCCAAATCTTCCCAGGAACAAACTCCCAGACTGGGATGAAAGACAATATCAGGGAAATGTGCTGATGCAGAAGGAAGGATTGTGTGTCTGAAATAGCCACAGAGGAACAAATTTGTGGTTTGATCCCAGTATCCTGATCCATGACAGGCTGTTCTTTACTCAGCCTTGCCTGAGGTGATGTCACTAAACACAGAGTAAAGCTCCTGGTGCACTGAGGAGATCCCCAGGTCTTGGCAAACTGACATGGCTCAGTTTCTTCCACCCCCCTCAGTCCTATTTATTGGAGACAATTTCAGACAGGACTTAATCACTCACAGCTGCCATTAGTAACCTTAATTATAGTTTAGCAAATAATGCACTTAAAGCCATAAAGCCCAAATGCAAGTCTGGAAGTCTTTACTGGTCTTGACCATATTTTATCTCTAAACTCTTCCTATTTGAGACCAGATAGTGAGCACAGTGGACTGTGCAGATTATCAACTACACCATGTCAGCAGCTTCTTTTTTCACCAAATTTAGCAATGCCAGTGCTTCCAATAAAATATATTTTACAGAATCTGCCATAATATCACCAGGCTGTAGAATGCAACATTCAGCTGTCTGAGGATGAACTGAAATACTCACAGATTTTTTCACAAAAATTATGTTCTGTTTTCAGGCGATGGATGGTGTCTTTATCTTCTGGATACCTTGAGGTAAACAAAAGTTTTTCAGCACTGTCTATTCCAGTAAGTGCTAAGAACTCTTCAATGTTTTTCTGGATTTGTTTATTTTCCTTCTGGGTAAATCTGCCAAACTTGATAGCCATACCTAAAATACAGAAAGGTAAAAAAAACCCAAGTCAAACCTCAAGTACCATCTCTTGCACCTCTCTGGTATCAACAAATTCAGAGGGGAAAAGAGAAAACTGAAAGAGACAAAACCAGGTGGGAATCAGCAATTAACACACAAGTTTGAACTGAAATTTGCCAATGTGGAAGCAGATGTACAAAACAGAGAAAAAGAAAATACATCAATGGGATGAAGTGAACCAGACTGTGGGTGGAACAGACATGACACAAACTTTTCCCTCTGTCCAAACATTAGCACAGCTGCACAGTCCTTCCTCACTGCAACAGGATTTCAGAGAGCTCACCCAGTTTTTTAAACTCCTTAAACCTCATTAGGTCTCTTCCAGCCATTTTCTTGATTGAACAGTCTGATATATTCTTCACATGAGGAATAAACTCTTCCAGTTCTTGTCTTGCAGTATCCAAATCCACAACTGAAGTCATGGAAGGGTCCAGGCCTTCTTCACCATCCACACTGACCTCATCAGAGGCTGCCAACTCAGCAAAGGAATTGTTCTGCTGCTTATTTTTATGAGATGCCAAGGCTTTTGGTGTCCTGATATAAAAAAAGAAAAAAAAAAGGGCATAAAATAAAATACACCACTAGAACTCCAAACCAGAGGTGTTGTTAACATCTCTACCATTAAAAGAATGAACATATTCGTTAATTGCAGAACAAAAAATACATCAGACATCCACTGCCTTGCATTTCTAATCTGCTAACATAATTTAGCAATTGTAATTTATTTCCAAATTTCTACACTTGTAATAATCAAGGAGCTTTCTGAAGTTCTGAAAAGCCCCAAAACTCTCACACATGGGCATACTGAAGAAATAATGCCTTTTGCTAGCACTGGCACACAGATTTTTTCCATCTGTCTCCTACTAGTGCTCCTGTTTTGTTTTCTAGACACTGCAAAGGCATAAAGAACTACTTACAGAAGCATTTATTTGCACAGAACATTCAATTATTCAGCTGACCTTACTAGCTACTTGGTTAAAATGCACATGTTCCCTATAAATATCAACTTTAACAAATTAAATCCTTTTCTCTCCCCACCCCCTTTTTTTTTTAACTGTGAATTGTTTGCAGGTAAGTTATTTCTGTACCTATAGTTTTTAAAGAGGAGAAAAGAGTCTAAAGTATTCTTAAAAATTGTTATTGGATCTACACAAGAAAACTGAGGTTTTAAAATAGGTCTCCAACATCACAAACATTGTGTAAGTTCAAAGTTTTTCTTTAAAACACACAAAACAGAATGAAGACAAACCTGAAACCCAAATAACATGAAAGGAATGTATCTGGGGAGCGGAGGAAGGAAAAAAAACCCACAAACAAAACCTGAACTTACATCATATCAGACTCTGAAGAGCTTTCTCCCATGACAGAAGTGCTGCCATTTTTTGCCTTTTTAGCGTGTGCTGCAGTCTTTTTAGCTCGCCCAGCTGCTTTATTGGGTGTGGAAAAACCAGCAGGGAGCTCCATGGAGACCTCAATGATGGCAGAAGCAGCATCAGAGCCTTCATCCTCACCTGCAGGTGCAGGCCGCCCCCTGTGCCCCCTGTCCTGCTCTGAGGGTGACAGCAGTGCCTCAGCTGCTCCATCTGGGTCCTCCTGGCCACTGCCCTCTCTCCTCTTCTTCCTCTTCTTTTTGGATTTCTCTTTGTGGCCCGTGCTGTGTTCCTCAGAGGGAGGCAGCTCACGCACCTCATGCTCTTCAGGCTGCTTCTCTTTCCTCTTCTTGTGTTTTTTGAAATAAACATAATCAGCAGCACCCTCCTGGCAGTCCTGGTTCACATCGCTGAGCTCGCTGGTGCTGTCCTCACCCTTCCTCTTCTTCCTCGGGGAAGCAGCTGCTCCAGCCCCATTGCTGAGCTCATCTTGCACCTTCACAAAGTAATTATCCAGCAGAGCCTGCTGCTTCTCAACCCTTTTTTTCCGTTTTTTCTTTTTTGTCCTGCCCTCCCCACCCTGTCCTGCTCCCTCTTCAAAGAGCACTGGGGAAATGCAGCCGAGCTCTGCACCTTCCTCAGTTTCAGCATCTTCGTGTTTGTTGTTGGACTCACTCAGTTTCCTCTTCTTTTTCTTCTTCTTGACAAAATCCTGGGCTTGAAAATCACCTGCATGTGCTTTGCCTTTCATTTTTTTTCTCTGAAGTAAAAGAGAGGAGTTTCATTGAAGTGTTGTCATTTATGCACCATTTTCATTTAAAACAAAACATCCCCCCCAAAAAAAAACCACAAAAACAACAAAAAGCACAAAACCCACCCAAAACCTTAACTGTTAAAAACTCAGCTTTATCTTGGACTCTTACTTTTCAATCCAGTTAGTTCTGTAAAGTGCCTAGGAAAAGCTGGTGCCTTCTTTGTCAAACAGATGTGCATCACAGCTGTCCCCAGCCTTCAAAGTGCTTTCCTACAACAAAATACACTTCGATAAATTCAATAACTACTAGCTCTGGAGATGAATAACTAAGCAACGTCTGACTTGTATGTTCAACTCAGCTTTCAGCAGTGAAACAGCAGCAAGCATAAAGCAACAAAGAAGTAAGAGACTCATCAGCACTAAACGCAGAATTCCCCAATTAGAAATTTCTCAGGGGCCGAGCTCAGCCCTGCCGGCAGAATTCAGGCGCACAGAGCGGGCAGGAAGCTTTTTTAAGCACATTTTCTACATCCGGCACATACAAAACACTCATCTCCGTGTCACATTCGAAACACCCGCCCTTGAATTTCGCATCCACTCCCCGCCAGCGAGGGGAACGAGCGGCCCCAAAGAGCTCAAACCACAGCGCGGTTTCCAGGCCCAGATACCGATAAACCCACCGGAGCGCGGGCCTGACCCCGCCGCTCCTTTCCGGGTTACCGAGGGAGACTCGCAGCGCTCCCACCGAGCTCCCGGCGGCCCTGGGCTGGAGGAACCCGCCGCCGCTCCCGGCCCCAGCCCCGCCGGGCCTCCCGTTACCTCCACGCGGTGTCCGCCCCGCCCCGGCCCATCCGGTCCCGGCGGAAGCGGCCGCGGCCGGGCCCATCAGAGCGCCGCACCGCCCGTTGCCTGGAGACGGACGGCGCCGCGAGCCCGGCGGGGAACCCCGGCACCGGGGCCGTGCAGAGACACCGGTACCGGCACCGGGGCCGTGCAGAGACACCGGGTCCCGCAGCGGTACCGGGGCCGTGCAGAGATCCCGGCACCCGCATCAGTACCGAGGCCGTGCAGAGACACCGGGTCCCGCATCAGTACCGGGGCCGTGCAGAGACACCGGTACCGGCACCGGGGCCGTGCAGAGACACCGGGTCCCGCATCGGTACCGGGGCTGTGCAGAGACACCGGCACCCGCATCGGTACCGACACCGGGGCTGTGCAGAGACACCGGCACCCGCATCAGTACCGGGGCCGTGCAGAGATCCCGGCACCCGCATCGGTACTGGGGCCGTGCAGAGACACCGGCACCCGCATCAGTACCGGGGCCGTGAAGAGATCCCGGTACCCGCATCAGTACCGGGGCCGTGCAGAGACACCGCCACCCGCATCGGTACCGGGGCCGTGCAGAGACACCGGCACCCGCATCGGTACCGGGGCCGTGCAGAGACACCGGTACCGGCACCGGGGCCGTGCAGAGACACCGGCAACCCCATCAGTACCGGGGCCGTGCAGAGATCCCGGCACCCGCATCGGTACTGGGACCGTGCAGAGACCCCCGCATCGGTAGCGGGGCCGTGCAGAGACCCCAGCACCAGCACCGCCGAGACAGCCCCGGCACCGGCACCGGGACAACCGACACTCCCCCGGCACCCGGACTGGGACCGCCCAGAGCCCCCCGGCCCGGGCCCGGCCCCCCGCGCCATGGCGGGCGGCAGAGCGGGGTCCCGGCGGCGGCCGATGACCTTGGCCGAGGCGGGCCCGGGCACGGAGAACGAGCGGCTGGGCTTGGTCCGGCTCAGCATGCTGCGCAACCCGCTCATCATCAAGGTGAGCCCCGCGACCCCCGTTCCCCCCGCCCCCGAGCCCTGCCCGGACACCGCCACCTCCCATCCACAGCCCACGGCACCCCGGGGATGGTGGGCGGGTCACGGTCGCCCCGCGGGCAGCTCCACAGTTCAGAAAGGTTTCCCCTTAAAGCGGTTAAAATCAGTTTTTTCCCACCCCACACTGATTTATGTGACAAGGAATTTGTTTCTCCGCTGGTCCTTCACAAGCATGGCCGTGTTTTAACGACCGGTCCCCAGCCGGTGATGGGCACAGAGCAGGATGGGCTCTCCATGCGAGGGTTTTCCCAAGTCGTAAGTCCCAAGGTTCGGGAAGCACTCGAGGACAGGGACAGAGATGTCACTGTGGCTGCTCTGCAGCCCCAGACACAGCAGAGAGGTCCCGGGGAGAGGGTCACACAAACTGGGAATTGCCACCAGCGCTGGAAGGGGCCGTCCAGGGATGTTTGGAGTCCAAGGAACACCTGGACGTGGCACCCAGATCACGCTCTGCTGGTCGGTCACAGGCTGGACTCGATGATTTTGGAGCTCTTTTCCACCCTAAGTGATTCTGTGGTGCTGTAACTAGCATTTTTAGACCTGCTGTGGAGGTTCTGGTCCCTTCCCAAACTCAGGGCACTTCTCCGAAGTTCGTTATTCCCACTCCTATCCCCGCCCTGCGCGCCGGCTCGCAAAGTTTCAAACATCTCACTTCGGTGGCTTCCTCCTCCTCGACCCGCACACCCTCAGCCCCGAGCAGCAGCTGAAGTGCAGCTCCCGTCCCCTGGATGGCACTCGCAGAACGGCTTCGTGCCCGAACCGGCGCTCCCGGCCCGCAGCGAGCCCCGAGCCCGCCCCGCGCCGGCCCCGCGCCGGTCCCGCTCCGGTCCCGCTCCCGGGTCCCGCTCCTCGCCTGCTCCTGCTCCCAAGCTTTGCTTCCCCGCTTTAACCGCGTCCTTCCAGCCGGAGTTCGGCTCTCCGGTTCCCTCCCTAATCGCAGGCTTGGAGAGGTTGGGCGTAAAATTTGGGAATTTGGAGTGTCACTGGAAATGTGAGACTTTGCAGTGTTGAATTCTTTTGTTTTCTTATGAAATTCTTAAAATCTGTTGGGAGATTTTGTCAGGCGGAGAAAAAAAGTAGGCCTTGCATCAGAACTCAAAAGCAGCCTCGTTTGTTCTAATCCACAATTTCTGCTTTCTTTCCTTTCTCTGGATCCCCGTAGTTTGATGGGAAGGATAACTCTCGCAGAGCATCCTGGCACTGGGAATTCTGAGCAATTTTCAATGGTGGGATGTTTTAGTAAATTAAGAGACAATCTGGATTTCTGCAATCTGGCCTGGTGAAACTAAACTTTGAGGAAGTTTAGAAGGAAAAGGTAGTGTTCCATTTCAGTATTCTGGACAATTTCTGTTTTCTCAAGGCTTCCTTGCAGGAGTGTGTCTGCTGGTAGGGATGTGAGGAGATTTGCATCCACCTGATGAGTACAGAGTAAGGAAGGTGTTAACAGGGACGCTTTCACTCTTGGAACCAGCAGTAATTGCACTTCAGGGTAGGTTCTGCTGTCGATTTGTGCAGCAAAGTGTTGCCCCCCTGCCAGCTGCCTTCCCACACTGCCCGGGGAGTGCTGAATTCACCGGGGTGTCCCTCTCTGCCGGGAGGTGACAGGGCTGGGGTGGCAGTTCTCTGGATAAACGCTGGCACTTGGCACTGCACACACCAGTGGTGACACACTGGCAGCGTCAGCCCTCTGCCCTTCCTCCTCCTCCTCCTGCTTCCAGCTGCAGCCTGGAATCTCCTCCTCCCCAGGACAGCCCTGGGGACCCAGCGCTCTGGAGAGGATGGCCAGTAGGTCCCAGCCCTCATGCTGCAACCAAAGGACACAAGGATGGTTTAAGAGAAAAGGACAGAAGGTTTGGAGACAAGTGCAGCTTGGAGGAGTGCTGCTGGCAGCCGAGGGAGGGCATGAGGAACACACAGCTCAAAAAGCTGCCAGGGAGAAGGTCTCTGGGCAGCAAATCCACAAGAACCTGAGGCCAGTGGAGATGGATGGGACACTTAGTCCCTGATCCTCCTCCAAATAGCACTTGGACCCCAAAACACTGGTGCAAGTGTGACAAATTTCCTACTCTGCAGCAGCCAAATGACATCCTTCTTTCTCTTTGACTTATTTTATGTATGTTCTAAATATGGCATCACATATTCAAACAAGATCCCTGCCCAGGCTGTTTCTGGCTGAGCCTCCTGCCACAGCTCTGCCCAACCCAGCCTCCCCACAGGATGTGTCCACACACTCTGGCTATCACAGGTTAAAACCATCATCTTCTCACATTAACATTTCTAGGGATGAATGTTCTCTTTCTCTGCTAGAATGTATATTGTGTTTTAATTAACCAAGGAGTTAATTTAGTTATCAATATATATTTGCTTGCAGCATAAAACTGAGGAAAGCATTTCATCTCCTGATGCCAGTAAAAATCTGAGCAAAGCATTTTTGGTCTGTTTTCACCAGTAAAAGCCTTAGCCAAGCACTTTTCCAGTACAAACTTACTGAAAACTCCTGTGTTAAAAAAATAAACCAGCTCTGGGCAGGAAATAAGAGTTTACTACACTTAACCCCTGGCAAGCTCGACACAGACTTCAGAAATAGTGACTCACAGCAGTTTGATTACATTTAGATTAACATCTTCTGTATAATAGGTATATGTAAGTTCAACACATCTCTGACAAAGTCATTATCACCAGCAAGGAATTGGATTTACCTTCCTAAATGTGTGAAGGTAAATGGGAAATCCAACCCCACGTGCCAAAGCATCCCCTTACCTGTCCAGGTGGAGCCAGGGGCAGAGAGCAGGAACTGCTCTCCAGGAAAAGCCCTGAGAAGCATCTGGCTCATCTTCAGAGCCCCTACTGCTGCTCCCAACATGGAAAAGCTGTTTCCAGCCTGGCAGTTCTGAGGAGGAAGAGGAGGAGGATGGTGCTGGCGCTGTGCTGGCCAGGAAAGGCTGGCTCCAGGTCCCAGTGCAGACTGCAGGAGAAGCAGATTTAACAAACAACCGCTGGAATGTGCAGTGTTTATTTTACAAGCTTGTTATTTACATGACAACTGATGCCAGGCTGTCTTTATTGGTCTGAATGCCAGGGCATTTAGGGTTCATTTTCCTAAGCTTTCCTCTACAGCCCTGAGGTCTGGCAGTATTTCTTTTTTTTCCAAATGAGATTGAACAGGAGCTACAGGATTCGGGCAATAAAATTTCAGCAGCTACGATCTCCAGAAAAATTTATGATCAAAAAAAATCTCCCAAAACCACAGGAACTGGCACAGATATCCTTGGCTTTGGAATTCCCAGCAAAGGAAGGATTAGCCAGGCCAGGAGAGTGAACTGCCCTTTTTGGTGGGTGAAGGGGATGAACAGAAGAGTTTCTCTGGGCTCACCCGGAGCCTGCTCCATGCCCAGGGATAGCAGCTCCCTGTGGCACCAGCCAGTGAGTAAAGGCAGGAATCACCCACCACATTTTTCTTTTTCCTTTCGTGCCTATTGAAGCTCATCATGAAGTATTTCTGAACTGACTGTCACAGAGCAAGGCACTGCTGACATTTGTTGCAAAATCATTTTGATTTCTGGAAAGATCCATAGGATGGACAGTACAAAAGCAAGTGGGGCCATATTGTCAAACTAAAATTTTGTCACATAGTGGAAAAAGAAAAGAAAAGGCTGTAATTAAGCAAAAGACAAAGCTGGACAAATGCATGCTGTGAAAAAGAATATTACAACTTCGAGCTGTAAACTGCATCCTCACAACCATCTCTTGGAATAGAAATTACTGACAGGGCAGGTTTTCCATCAGTCTGAAGCTTTTATTATTGACCTGGACTATGGCTGCAACAGGGCTTTTACATCTGAACGCTGTGCTTCATCTTTGAGCCTTTAACCCTCAGCTTCCTTGGTGATTTGGGTTTGTTTTTTTTTTTAAACATTCTCTCCAAATCCACTCATCTTCTTTATCTCTTCTGGCACGGGTGAGGAATGGGACTGACAGGAGCAAAACCATTCCCTTTGCACAGAGCAGCCACAGCCCAGGGAGGGCTGGCAGGTCCCTCTGCTCCCCTCAAGGGATCTGGGGCTTCAGCCACAGCCAGGATCTCACTGCTGTTGGCACATCAACCGAGATCCCCCCAGTGGCACACTGCTGATCACAGCCCTGGGATGCAGCTTCCAGAGGGTTTGGGTAACTCCCCTCAGGTGTTAGCTTTGATGATTTAAGTAATTCTGTTCCTTCCCCTAACCTAAACCTGCTCACAGCTATTTGGGATCAATACATTTATTGGAAACATGGTCAGAGAGCAGATTTCAGTTCCTCTGTCTCTCCCTTGTAACACAGAGCAGAGCAGCCACAAGTACCATGAGCTGTGTTTAGAATAAGGTTGTTTTATTTTGTGTTAATTATTCTCTTTATCTCAAGTCACTACATGTGCTGAGCATCTTGCCTTCTGTGCTTGCTGCTTGGGGACACTGAGGTTTAATTAGTGTTTATGCAGCACTTTGTGTGCTTATTGCTATTATTATTATATCACGAGTACTATTATATTTTTGCAATCTCAGACCAGTGTTGTGCTTTAAAAAATGTATTCTGAGATGTCTATGCAGTGTCTCAATAGTTCATTAGAGAAATAAACTAATGAAGGGCTGGTTAGTCAAATAATCATTAGGTTTGGTTCTGAGCTTTCCTTCCAATGCTCTGACTTCTAAGGGTTTTCTTCTCAGCATGAACTCATTTAAGATTTTAAATGAATTATTTGGTACACTAAAAATTAAACTCCTTATGAGCTTTAGTGCCCTCCCATATTTTGCACAGGCACTGCTGAAATAAATAAAGTAATTCCAAGAGGCAAGTAAACATTCTGCATGAATGAAAGTAGTGGGTTTTTCCTGCTGGTTGTTTGAACTCAGGCTCCGAAGTGCCAGCTGTGACTCAGCAGGCAGAGGGACAGCCCCAGCAGCACCG